TGGCTGTCAACAAATAAATAATGTGTGTTTACCTATAGTGCCGGTCGTTTTTTTCAGTTTCCCTACAGAACATCTCTCAGAGAAAAGCTCATACAAATTTTGCTGCATGAAATTGACTTTTACTTGATTTGATTTTATATCAGATCCTTCTCACGCTCGTTTAGCCAATCAAAATCGACTTCCTTGTTTTGTCTTCCATCTGACCTCAAAGGTCAACCTCAGGAGATCCGATTAGCGATACACTTCCTCTAAAAATATAATAGTCTACTAAACTATTATTTAACACGTGTTTCTTACACCAAAACAAGCACAAAAGTCCATATAAACGTACGCAAATCTTTCGTTTTTGAGTTATTAAGTTTAAAGAAAGTTTACGGTAGATGGTGCTGTGTTGTCATGTAGACTAGATTATATTTGTCATTCGTGTACATTGGGGGCTATTTCGTCTTCAACGTTTAACATGTGTAGTGTTGAGTTAAGTAAGAAGTGTTCGTTTAACAATGACAGGATATTAATATCGTGAGCAGGTAGAAATGATTTTTACATACGGCCGTGTGAATGGTAATGGACGCGAGGTTGCACGGCTGTATCAGATTGCGTCTCCAGACCGAATACAGCCGAGTCATCAATCCTTTGCTGTTATCTATCGTTGCGTTACTGAGTGAGGATCCGTAGCATCACAAAATACGCCTGACCACGAAGAACATTCTATGTCGGAGACAATACAGGTATCAGCACACGTCAAGTGGCTCTAGTAGCGCATGGAGGACACTTCAAGAACAGCTCCTATGTCCGTGTCATTTACAACGTGTTCAGAGTCTTTCACCCTCTTATAACTAATCACGAAAGAACTTTTGCCGATGGTTTATTGCACAAACTCAAAAAACGAAGGATTTGCGGACATATATTTATATATATTTTGTCCTTGTTTCGTCATCAAATTTTTAAAAGTATTTTTGATACACCTTGTATCCGCGTGTACCAAGCGGAGTATAATATATTACATATAGATACACAATGAGCAGAGTGTAAGGAGAAAAGTTCTTACATATAATATGGAGATACTCCTGTGCCTGGAGAAGACGTGTTTAACACTCCAGATTTTAACGGGCCGGATTCAACTACTATGTCCCAGACGAGGACATATTCCACGAACGGGAAACAGCGAGTATTGGGGTTTCCCAAGTTGAAGACTGCGAGCTGGAGTTTCTTCTACGGAAGATATATTCCCAAAAGGAAACTTGTAAGCTGCTGTGGGGTGCAGATTTAACCTTTGCCCGGGCCCTTAGCTAAAGAAAGCAACCTTTCGGCTTGGCTGCTGTAAAAAAACTGAATGGCAGGCCACCATTTTTATTGATTTTTCTATCGGGTGATACTGGCCTTCCGCTCACCGATTTTAACTATGTTTCATGAAAGATAAACAAGAAATAAAAATGCCAGACCAAATTGAATCAAACAGATTAAGAGTAAAACCGAAAGTAAAAAAAAAGTAGAGGACTCGGTATGTTTTGGCGTTGGTCCTTTAGCCTTTTTCTTGCAATAGAAGTTAGCAAAGAGAGTATTAAGAAATAAGTCATAAATGACTATCTAGAAACGTCTGGAAAGGGAACGCACGCTACAAGAAACGTTTTAATGAGTAGTAGGCATGCAGACAGTTTTTTTTATCTGTGTTTCATCTGTAATTGCACAAAGACATTCGATAAAATACGACACGAAGAAATTCTTGGAATATTAGAAAAGCTTGGTCTACACGGAAAAGATATCCAAATAATCATAAAGTTTTACTGGGAACCAACACAGCATCTATACTGATCGATCATGAATTGCGTAAACAAAAACAGAAAAATAATTAATGTTTTCTCATCGAATTTATTTAATCTATACAATGAGAGGACGAGAAGACCTATGAGAACTTGTTATCGGCTGATGCTGCCGTGGGAATATAGACTAATTTAGTATATTTAGCTACCCTGACCCACGAGGGTTGCAAGTGGCACAAGGCCGGTTTAACGTGGTTTTCTCCGAGCCCGTAGGCTCGGCCAAAAATATTCCCCTTCGAACCCGTACAAACGGGTTCACGGGCAGTCTACCTCCCCGAACGAGACTCTGCCCTTCAGCGGAGCCTTGTCCGGGTTCTTCTCTGCCTTCGGGCAGAGAGTTCGACTGTATAGCTGGAACAGGTCGCAGACTAAGCAGATGATAATATGTTGATGACAGGTTAAGAAGAAAAGTAATCATGAAGAATGATAAGGAAGTCGATGATATTCAGAGGAAAGGACTATTTATTTACCGTAGAAGGTAGAATGGATGGATGTCAGTAAAAGGACAGCCCATGATATGAATTAATTATCGAGGTCATCAAAATCAATTATATGGATTGTGTAACAACAGGGGATGGAAATTGTAACACAAAAATCAGTAGGAAAATGCCTTTCAGAAACTAAACTAGCTACTAAAGGATGGAAAAATCACCTAGGAAACAAAGAAAAAGAGTGCTGATCTGCTATATAATCTCTGACGTCCATGCAGGAAATACTGGACAACCTTCTCATAAGTGAAGAATAAAAACGAAACTCTCTTGACGAATATTGAGATTACTATGGAGAAAAAACAGAAAATACAAATACACTGTTGAAAGACTGAGCTGAAATTGTTGGAACACATAATAAGAAAGAAAGTCTTCGAGAATTTAACACTCACAGGGCTTAGCGAAGACAAAAAAAATGAGGACAAACGATGAGTGACCTTGGCCGTTATCAAATTTTGGGTTGCGACAACTTTGTAAGTAGAGGTGCAAAGTCCTGCTGAAAACATAAGGTCATCTATCACATAATATGGCGCCATTCGTGGGGAAATTGTGACCACTTTTCTGACGACGTTCCCCGAACGTTCGTCACTCACTACACCTGTGATGACATCCAAGGTTGAGTGTATTTCCATATACACCCAACTCGCTATGTGCACAGATTTGTCTTCTCGGCTCTAATCGCTTGCAACAAAAAAAAAAAAAATGAGGACAATAGTTTTTCCAGATTCTGTTTGGAAAGTAGCAACAATAGGACTTATGTCTTAAATGTGGGATCCTTCCTTCTGCGAGAGGTGGGCATCTATCTTCCTAACTTCACTGGCCTTGGTAACTCCTGATTTCTCACTACCAGTCCTTCTGTCACTGATCGCTGGGCAGCTCCAACTCTTCTGAACACCTACCTACTTCACTTACAGCTGGATCCACTTTCCTCGCGACTTCCTGCCTCTCTCTGCCAATATGGATAATCCTGGGGTCCCACCCCATCGATCCACTTGTCTTTCCGGAAGATTTGGGACCACCCCAAAGCCACATGGGCGGTAAAATCTTCAAAGGACTACATGTCTAAAATCATTTCTAAAATTTTTATGTTTCCCAATCCAAAGGCAAACCGGAGACATGAATCCTGAAATATTAACCCCTAAGTTCCCTTCAAGATGGACTGGAGACAAAATTCCTACGAAACTCCAATAGCTGAGTGGACTTAAAAGGAAGGAATTTATCACCTTCTCTTATAAAGATGTGTGAGAAATCAGATTTTTACACATACAAAGTCTATCTCGGAATTCACAATTGATTCCGGTCCCGCAGTATAGCTAGTAATATTCAAACGAAGGCCTTGTTTAAAGAAGTGGGATGGCATCACATGTCCTTCACTCCTCAAGCCCCTAAAACCATCACCGAAAAGGGAACATTTGTTGAGCTTAACATGGTGGGGCGGCATCTAAAGGCTCCTCACACGATCATCTGTCATTTTTCCGGTTCACTTTTTGATCCTGGTTGGTCAAAAGCATACTTGGTACTTCTTGATGTTTTAAATTTTCCACTAATCGTGTCGGAGAACGCATATTTTCTGGAAATTTTCTCGAATATTCAGGCCGGTAAATGTAATTAATATCGTTCAATTAAAAAACAGAACATTTACTCAAATAATAATGTATCCATAAAAATAACGTATAAACAGACAAAGAGGAAAAAATCAGACACCTACCAACCTATGCATTCAAGGATTGTCCTCTAAATGAACGAGACAGAGCAAATATGCTACCCAGAGACACACCTCAAAAAGAGCAAAATTCAGACCACTACTCGAGTTTCTCGCTATTTCGATCTTCAACCGATTATAACGCATATATATATATATATATATATATATATATATATATATATATATATAGAAAGATAGATATATTAAAAGAAATAGTTCATGACAAAAAGAAAGGTAACAAAAAATATATATTACTGTAAATTTGTAAACCGAAATATTTTAGAAACAGTTACCTCAGTTTATTGGTCTTCTCTAATCAGAGCAAAAATTAATTGAAGACAGAAAAATGTGCACAGCAACTAAAAATATACAACCGCAAACTTATATGAAACAAAAAATATAGCATTAAAGGATAATTATCTTTAAACACAGCTACTACTTATTCTGCTTAAAGAGAGACGGCTGGTAGGACTTAATATATAATAATATATATAATCGGTATTAACACTGAGAATATACTGGGCCAATATCAACACTGAGAATATACTGGGCCAATAGACCGGGGACACTGCTGTTTTTGTTTTTTAAATTAATACCTGATTATATTTGGTATGAATTCTTTCTTTTTTTGTTATGAATGGTCTTTTAATCGGTTTACTTTTATTGCTCTAATAAAATTTTGTTCCCCTGCGGATATATATATATATATATATATATATATATATATATATATATATATATATATATATATGAGGAGAGAGAGAGAGAAAGAGAGAGCAAGAGAGAGAAAGAGAGACTAACGGGGAATAAAATTGAACGCCCTGAAGGTGGATGCTGAACATGCTTGCAGGCAATAGTAATTTTTCTTTCTTTTTCATCTTCGGCCATCTTGTACCTTAATAACACATTCCAGTGCACAGTCTGTGTGTGAGCTTTAGACGGTGACGAATGCTGCTTCGTTAAGGTGAAAGAGTCCAGTGTAATCAGGTGGCATGGCACACGTGGCTGTCGTTCTTTCCCTTTCTGGCCCTTTTTCCTTCTCTTTAATTTTCTTTTCTTCATCTTCTTTATTCCTCTGCCTCTGTTCCTTTACTCTCCTCCTCTTGAGCTCTCTCTTTCTCTCTCTCTCTCTCTTTTATCTTTTTTCTATATCTATTTTTTTTTTCATTCTTGTATTCTCTTTCTTTTTTCGTTGATCTTTCTCGTTCATGCTTTTTCTCATTCTTTCTCTTTTTTCTTTTTGTTTATTTCTTCCTCTCTTTATCATTTTTTTTATCCATGGTTACTTTCACCTTTAAGTATCCTTTCTCTTTCATTTTCCCATTTCTTTCTCCATATATTTTCCCATTTTTCTTCTTTTTCCTTCTGTGGTCTTTTCGTTTCATTCTTTCGCATCATTTTTCTTCTTTGTCGATATTCTTTCTTTCTCTTCCTTTCGTTTGTTAGTCTTTTACATATAATATTCTTTCATTATCTATTATCTTTCTTCAGTTCTTTCTTCATCTCTTCCTTCTCACACCTTTGTACTCTCTTTCTCTCCTACAATTCCCAGTCTTTCTCTTCTTCTAACATCTGTTTCCTTATTTCTTTTTCTATCCGCCCACCCTTATTACAAAAGAGGGGCCCGGGTAATAAGAAGGCGAACAGAAATAAATATAGAAACTTGCGCGTCGTCAGGATAAGGTTATTCGTTGCTGAGTCTGCCGGTTTCAGGTTACCATCTCCTGATACCTTACGCAACAGAGGCACGCACAAAAAAAACACACACACTAAGTGTGAGTCTCAAGTGCAGACCAATATTTAGTGTTATTAAAGGAATAAGCAAATATGATGAGTAAATGCTTACATCGAACGTTTAATGCCTATCTTAACAAGCAAGAAACGAGTATATATATATATATATATATATATATATATATATATATATTGTGATGGTGATTTTTTAAAATTTATTATGAATATAGCACCAACATATTAATGTGCATATAATATTTAATGCCATTTTACATTTCTACCAATTCCCAGTCAGCTCCCTTATATTGGAACGCTTGGTTTGAAAAAAATTCCATAACTGCAACGGATAAATTTAAATTTTAAAATAACTATAACAAGCGTGTTCTCAACGGAATGTAGATTTTATCACAGTTACAAAAAGTTTGTCTTTGTAATTTACCCCGGAAGTTGATCTATAAAAGATCGAAAGTACTTGGGTTAAAAAAATTAACATTGCCTTCCTTGATGAATTTCATCTTAACATCAAGAAATTGATTAGACAAATGCAAAGGAATAAGGTAAAAATAAGTAGGCACAACATGTCTATAATATTCAATGAAACATATATATATATATATTATTTATAAAATCTTACTCTTTTTTTCTTTAGAAAAGTAGGCTTTATCAAGTTCATTTTTATCGCTTTTTCTAGAACTGCTAGAAATTTTCTTCCAAACCTTTTGCTTAAGGTTGTGGAAGTTCAATTATTTTCTTTTCTAGTTACACGTGTCATCCATTTTAGTTGTTGTTGCTGTGGTAAATCTTCAAGTGATTTGATTTGTTATTCGCTAACGTTTCTTGTTTATAAATGTCGCCAGACTATACGATCTGATGAAGGGTTGTCTTCTTTAAGGCCTGAAAGGATTCATTCGCTTGAAACCATTATAATCATTAATCTAATAAAAGAGCAGCAGCAGCAACAATAACAATAATAATAATATCATTTGAGTAATTATTATGAATGAGTCTTCATTGATTGAAGTGACTATCGAAATATGATTGCAGTGGCGAATGTGAAGGATAGGGATCAAATTAAATTGCGGTGAGTCTAAAATTCACGTAAATGACGCAAGGCGATTTGGGGGATGAAGAGTGTCTTATGTATCATCAAATCCAGTAAATATCACGCAAGGAAAAAGACAAAAATTGTTTAGACTAAGTGATTATAGTGAATGAAGGAAAGGAAGAAGAGGTATTTTAAATACGAAGAGAAAAGGAAAAAATTTTCCTGTTTTTATCTTAATCTGTTTCTCTCCTCTAATTTCTCCCTTTCATCCAATTTGTTCCATCCATTTAATCTGTTGGATTGCTTTCATCATTTAATTTTCTCCAATCTGTTCCTTTCCTCTAATCTGCTCCTTTCCACTAAACTGTTTATTTCCTCTAATCTCTTTCTCTCCACTAATTTGTCCCTTTCCTCTAATCTGTTCCTTTAATCGCTTCCTTTCCTCTAATCTGCTCCTTTCCTCTAATCTGACCCTTTCCCTTAATAATTTAATTTCCACTAATCTGCTCCTTTCCTCTTAATAATTTAATTTCCTCTAATCTGCTCCTTTCTTCTAATCTGTTTATTTTCTCTAATCTGCTCATTTTCTCGAATCTGCTCCGTTTCTGTAATCTGTTTTTCTTTTCTGTAATCTCTTCCTTTCCTCTAATCTCTTTTCCTCTAATCTTCTCCTTCCTCTAATCTGTTCCATTCCTCTAATCTGTTCCTTTCCTCTAACTTGCTCTTTTTCTGTAACCTTTCCTTTAATCTCTTCCCTTCCTCTAATCTATACCTTTCCTCTAATCTATTCCTCTCCTCTCGTCTGTCCAATTCCTTTAATCTCTTCCTTTCCTGTAATCCAGTGTTTCTCAACCTTCTTAAGCAACGGCACACCGAGGAGGAAATAAAAATAAGACCGCAAACTTAGCCAAATTCTTAAATGTTATGAAATAAAGCCGTAGATGTAAAAAAAAATAATAATAATACACACACATATATGAAATCATTTTATTTCAATGTTTCTATTCAACTATTTGTGCAGGTTAATTAGTGTGAAACTTGTACTATTTTTTTTTACTTCCATGAATGGTCGAATGTGCGATAAGCAGGCCCTCATTTCTTCAGTTGAGTATAGTCTTAACCGCTTCTTACTTTCGACAATTTTTGGAGGCACACTTAAGGGGATTGAGAATCACTGCTATAATCTCTTTCCTTTCTGTAATCAGTTCCCTTCCTATAATGTTTTTCCTTTTCAATAATGTGTTCCCTTTTTTCTGTAATATGTTCTCTTCCTATAATGTTTTTCCTTTTCAATAATCTTTTCCCTTCACGTAATCCTTTTCCCTTAATGCCAAGTGGATTTTTCATTAGAGAGATCAGATTGCTCATATTTTCGTCCCTGACCAGAAAATACCAAAATATTTACAATAAGAATGCGACACTTCCACTTCTTTCCTTCAGTTTTTCTTGTCTTCATAGACATATGTGAAGTAGGTACCGCCACTTTTTCACTGACAAAACAGCACAGCATGATGAAAAAGGCCCCAAACTTAATAAGTACAAAGTTTTATCGTCAAAATGTTTATGTTATTATTAAGAGGGAAGACCAAAGTATTTTTTGATTATTTTATTCATTTTTTTAATCATTTCTAGCACATTCGAAATTTTCGTTTAAAATCTTGCTTTTTATACGTCAGCGGTCGACATAATATTTACGATTAGTTTTTTGATTTTTTTTTGCGCCATTTTTTTCAGTTAAAAAGCATATTGATTTGATAATTCTTGCAAAAATCAAATAATGGTTTGATATTAATGAAACTTTCAGGACTTATTCACAAATTATTGAAATTACATTTTTTTTTCCTTTTTAGAAAATCTTGGTAAGAATTATTTTTTACGTATGTTAACATTTACTTAATTTCATGAAATTTCGAGAAATTAAATTTTCATTCGAAAATTTTCATAAGTTAAAAGCAGGACTCCTTAGAGAATGTAAATCATCATTTTTCATTTCAAACTACTACACATTTCTCGAAAATCTGCTCCGAATAGTAGAATAAAAAATGCAATAAAACTTTGACATTATTTAATTAGAAACGCTTTTAATTGCTTTTATCAGTAAGATTTATTAAGTATACTATTGTCTTAAGAAAAAAAGTATTTCGATGACTAATGAATTTTTAGAAGAATTGTTTTCAATTTTTTGAAGTTTTAATTATAATAATTTATAATACATAAATCGTTTAAAATTCTGCAATACGAAGCGTCATTTCTGTCGACTTTACAAAACAAATAAAAAGACCACTTCTTCAATTCTTTTCCATTTCATAACACCCCACCTCCGTGAAAATGTCATTTTAGCATACCATATAAGTGAAAATCAGTTTTACCCCCTCAAGACAAAAACAGAGAAGGTGGTGAGTATCATCACATGTCCTTCGTCGTAAAATAAAGTGCCAAGTCTCACCGCACAGTGATTAGCTTTTAACAATTTAAAACGGAACACACAAAAATATAAAAATAAAAAGTCCTATCAATATATATATATATATATAATGCATATATATATATATGTGTGTGTGTGTGTGTGTGTGTGTGTGTGTGTGTGTGTGTGTGTGTGTGTGTGTGTGTGTGTGTGTGTGTGGTTAGACCATAACAATGTTCATCTTTATTCAACTGGTGGGTTCTTGTGTCGTATAAAGTCTTAAGACGCATGCAAGGATGAAAATCTCTCCTTTTTTTCTACAAAATGTCTTTCCTTTCTTTTTTTTTTCTTTTCTTTGGATTCCACACATATAGTGGAAAATTTTAGCCTCCCTCCAATCCGTCTGACTCCTAGGAAGCCACGAGTTCCATTAATCTCATCTTCTCGCCTTCACATTCTCCCACCGGCTCATTTTGTACTCTTGGCTTTTTCAGCCAATATCTCCCATAACCCACTAAACCCATCACTAGTTCTCTGATAACTGACAACCAAACTATAATGTTTGCTGTTGGGCACCCCCCCCCGTGGGGTGATTTCTGCCTACCACCGCTAACTTATCCACTAATTCATGTAAACCTAATGGTTCTAACAATTGGAGTAATTTGCAACTAGTTATATTAGTTTTCCTTATTAGTAGATCCCACAGCCTTGTATACTTGCTAGTCGAAACATCTACTAAAGCTAAAAAGTAATCCTGGGTTTCAAATTTTTCCTCCGCCTGATAGCATGGCGGGAGGGATAAAGTTTTTTTCCAAATGTTAAGCAACCCATCTGTAGTTTGATAAAGGCCAGGAGTTGGATAGGTTTCACAGTCACTGCCGGCTTTTCTATGCATATCGCCAATAAGTCCAGTTCCCAATCTATGGCCTCTACATTACTAATTTGCTTCAACCCTTCTAGGTAACCCTTACTAATTATCTACTTTATTCTGTTAATCAACACTATGGCAAATACCAACACTCTGGTTGGGATTGTGAACGAAAAGCAACAAGGCCCTCATACCGGGTGCCACCAGCACTATTAGCATGACCTGCTGAAAAATTCCAGATGCATCGACCAGTCTGAAGGACATAATACTGAACTGGTACAACACAACGTGACATACAAATCCAACCTTCTCCCTATCGGCTTTGTAGGGAACTGGAAAAATAAGATAACTTTTCAGCAATGCTTATATGTTATTGATTCTGGTTAGTGGATAGGCTAGTTGGTTGAGCCTTCCACTGTAATATGGAGCATTCTGTTATTCCTGCCTCCAGTGCCTCTTGTGCGAGCTTGCCCTTATGCAGTGGGGTCCGGTATAGTCTTAGCACTATAGGCAGGTGATTATCCGTGATTATCTTTGTCTCTACTGTTTCTATTTAACCTTAGTCACTGTTCGTAAATGTTTCTGCAAATGTTTTGGGAGCTTCCCTGTCTAGATCGGTCCTTACAAATGTGTTTCTAATTGCATCCGTGTAGTATTCCTCGGTTAGTTGTGATTGGACAGCTTCTCTGTCTCTCTGTACCGCGTCATTAAAGGCGATTTTGGCCAAGTTTAGCACTCTATTAACTAATTCGGCAACGTTTCTCTCTCACCCTGTCTAATTCTAATTCCATAACTATTATGGTGATTTATGTATTCTTTTCTATTATTTTTATTTTATCTTATATTTTATTTTTTGTGTGTACAGCAAAAAAAATATACGCCATGTTTATGGACAATTATTTTCATTTTGCGAATACAACCATTTAAAGTTAACTGACGTGTAATAATGTTAAGAATCAGGCTAAATGATAAAAAATGTGGTAGTAGGGTTGAGTTTAAGTATCCCCCCTCTAAAAGAAAAAAAAACACAAATAAAATAAAAACGGTAAATATTTAGAGTAAGACACTATACAATACTTAAGGAAAAGGGTTAAATTTAGGAACATTAAGATTGCCTCCTCGGTTATCCATTGAAACTGCTATCCACCAAAAAAAAAGAAAAAAATCCAGTCTCCACTGTGGGCCATTTAAAAGATAGTTCGCGCAGCGGATTGGTTGTTACAAACATCCAATCGGGTGTGCGGAAAACGTGGTCTTTCTTCGTCCAATTCATTAAAAGGCCAGAGTAGCTGTTAGCGTTTGATTGAGAGGTGGGGGATCAGGGATTGATCTCCTGTGATTGGGTTGACTTGGTGATGGGGAGTATGATGTTGAAAGACCCGGAACTCCCTGATAAACCAAGTCAAATAACATCACTGACGACCCCCTCGGGCGCCTACATTAGAGCGTATTTTTGAATTGGCTGCCTCTGCTGCGCTGATATATTCTACATATTGAGCGGTGAGCTGTTGTAAAAAATCGGTCCAGCTTAGATTCAGCATTGACGTCTAGGAATAGACCTACATATTCGGATACGCTTCCATCAACATAGTCATACGCTAAGTTGACAATTTCTGCTGATGTTAGGTTATGAATTTTGGCTTTCTTTTTTAGCACTTCTATCCAAGCCTGAAATTCTGATTGCTTTACCGAAAATATAGAATTTTTGAAAAACTGGCCACCATTCTAGAACCGGGGCGAGAGGTAACATTGTTATATATAAAACAAAATAAACACTAAATAATATTTCTATTGCTAAAATACCACTAAGACAATACAGTAGAATGGAAGAAAAAAAAACATCTTTGACCAATATGAGGTGAAAATATATATATATATATATATATATATATATATATATATATATATATAATCTAACAGTGTTCTCATCCTCTTGCTGCATATGTGGCCTCCTTTGTAAATCAGGAGCGGGTCTTAAGTGCCACTTAAGATTATCGCACAGAATTTCATAACTGAATCAACTAAGTTGTCAAATCCTCATACGATGAAACCGACGGAAAGTTCATTATTATATATATATATATGTGTGTGTGTGTGTGTGTGTGTGTGTGTGTGTGTGTGTGTGTGTGTGTGTGTGTGTGTGTATATAAATATATAGAAAAATAGGAAAGAACACGTTAGGTAAATAATCCGAAGATCTTTAGCATTTTTGTTTTTATTTTTATAAAGCTGCGTAAATTTTGAAATATGAGAACTCTTATGTAGCGAAGGAATCATATTTTTTAAATAATTATATATATATATATATATATATATATATATATATATATATATATATATATTATCTCATCATGTTTGTATGATTAATTTGTATCTAAAATAATCTTCTGGTAGTATTAGTAACATCTTGTACGAATGTATTGATATTTGATCGGTATTTTTGACATTTTGCATTGATTGGTTATTGTTATTAACACCTTATATAAAGAACCTTTAGTCAACGGTTGTATATTAATTTACCAAGTAATTCTATACGTTTAAATTTTTTACTGGTTTCTTCAACGAAATTCATCTCTTTTTTTTTTCCTTTTCAGCAGTCCCGTTTTTTCTTTATTTCCACGTTGTTTTTCTTCTGCCTTCCTTTTACAGTCAACGGTTCACTGTTTCTACTCCACTTCCACATTGTGCTTCCTTCTTTCCTTTTTTGTTATTTCTGTAGCGCCTCAGGTTTAATGTCGTTGTCACGGCACCAAAGTGTGAGGCCTTCCGTGGCGAAATTGTGACGACGTTCCCTGATCGTTCGTCGCTCACTGCACCTGTGATGACATCCAAGGTTGAGTGTATTTGCATCTACACCCAACTCGCTATGTGCACAGGTTTGTCTTCTCGGCCGTAATCGCTTTCAACAAAAAAATGAAAACAATAGTTTTTCAAAACTGGTTGGGAATTTTCTGACTTAAACGTAGGATCCTTCCTTCAGCTTCGAGAGGTGGGCTTCTATCTTCCTAATTTCACTGACCTCAGAGACTCAAGATTCCTCACTACCGGCCCTTCCGTCACTGTCCGTTGGGCAGCTCCAACTTCTTTGGTCATCTACCTACTTATCACACAGATGGACCCACTTTACTCCTGAGTTCCTACCTCTCTTTGCTCATATGAATAATCCTGGGATTCCACCCACTCCATCCATTTGGGACCACCCCAAAGTCACATGGGTGGTAAAATCTTCAAAGGGCTACTTCTATGACTATCTAAAATCATTTATAAAATTTTTATCTTTCCCAACTTTGGACATTCAACATTCCCCATATTGTTGTGGAGTTATTTCGCAGTGGAGGCTTGTATTTGTAATAAATCGGTCCTAAAATAGGTTCGACGTACAAAACGTTAGGAACTTGATATAATAGGTATTACGCAGAGTAATCTTGTTGTGGTCGCTGACTACTTTCGTATTCGACTAACTGTCGACTACTGTCGTCCGACATCGACGCAGTCACATATTTAATGTGGGGTTCCCGAGCCCGTGAACTCGGCCAAAAAATCCCCGTAAAGCCCGCATAAATTGGATCGCGTCTGTCTACCTCCCCGGACGAAACTCTGCCCTTCGGCATAGCCTCGTCCGGGTTCCTCTCTGCCCGAAGGCAGAGAGTTCGACTGTCGTCCGACATCGACTGACCCTCATTTCTCTTACTACTCCTACTTATATTATGTGGGAGAGTCTATTAACTATAGAATAGATGTGTTTCACCATAACACATATAAACACGAAAGACGATTTTCCCTTATGGCACACCAAACCACGATTCTTTGTGTTGGGCGTGTATGTCGTATGCAAATACATTCTGAAAAGTGATGTTGCTCCAAAACACTGCATCGAATATACAAGATACACCATCATTTGCAGAATTTGGAGAATGTTGAATGTCCAAAGTATTTTTCAACCTGGTCGGCTGCCACACCTGCAACAGAAAAACAATGTGCCGCCCATACAGCGCGTCATGATAAACAATAACTTCCATAGTCGACATGAACGCCAGACTTTTTCCCGATTGACCAGAACGCTTCAAACGTTCAGTTTACGAACTATGATATATTGATGTGTAGCGCCAGAAAGTGCAGGAAGCGTGAAATAAACGAGCGCAGGACAGTATTCCATGCTGGTGGAGGTGGCTACAAACTTTTGAACAAACTTTTGAACTGTAGTATATATATATATATATATATATATATAGTTGTATATTTAGGCAGCAATCCTTCCTTTATGCATGTTTCATTGAAAACGACAGACAAGGTACTACGGTTGAGCTTTTTATTTAATTTTTCTTGTGTTCTGACAAGTGCTTTCTTTTCTAGACAAAGGGTGTGTAAGAACTGTCCGAATGTTTTAAACAAACACTAATCAACAACGGTTTCCCTAACTACCTTATAGACCAACAAATTAGACTATTCAGCCCCAAAGCAAGTAATAACGATAGCGAACACACAGCTAAAAATCACATACACATTTATTACAAAAACCAAATCCATATTAATTACAAACAAGACGAATCTTCTCTAAGGCATATTATAAAAAAATATACTACTCCTATTGATCCGAATAAAAAAATCAAACTTATTATCTATTATAAAAGATTTAAGACGGCCAACCTTATCCACAAAAATGACAACACACCAACTAAGTCAAAATTACAAAGAACGAACATTATCTATGAGTTCAAATGCCCTTTAAGGAACTGCGTTCCTCACCAAACCGGACTCATAAATAATTACATCGGCTACACAACCACATGTTTATCCAGACGTTACACCTATCTGATCACATCTCCATCAGAACACATTTAAACACACACTTAGATTTACCCGACACCATTAGGAACATACTGGTAGAAAACACAAATATATTAACTGCATCCACTTGCAAAAAAAGACTAAAAATAATGGAAGCTCTAATAATAAAAAAGAAAAAGGCAACTCTTAACAATATTAACTACGAACAAAGCCACAATGTGCTAACCGTATTCGGAAATTAAAAACATCACTACCACACACTGAACATACACAGAACGCACACACTCAATTAAGCTGAAAAATCGAATCATCCTTGATAATGGCTAAAGGTATAGCCGAAAGCGCTCGGAAATATAAAACATTCGTACAGTTCTTACACACCCTTTGTCCAGAAAAGAAAGTCTTGTCAGAACACAAGAAAAATTAAATAAAAGCTCAACCGTAGTACCTTGTCTGTCGTTTTAATGAAATATATATATATATATATATATATATATATATATATATATATATATATGCGCGCGTGTGTATGCATAGGGTGCAATAGATGAATAGATGTCACTATTAGCTTGAAACACGGCCTCCAGACGACTTCAGAATCTCCTGCAACTCTTCTGGATGATCTCGTCTGGTGAATGCTGCCACAATCCTTGCTTTGATGTTAAAAGGAGTTTTGTTGGTCTCTCGCTCGACTGCGCCCCACACATGATAAAAGGAGGTTGCAGTCTGGGGAGTTAGGTGGCTAGATATAAGGGGTGATTTGATCGCAGAAATTGTCTGGAACCCATGTTCTCCTGATTGTGTGGAATGGTGCAGATTCCTAATGTCAGGCATAGGGACTTCCAGCAGCCACGCTCTTGACCCAGGGCAGCTGTGAGAAGATGAATGAAAGCATAATGTCCTCATCGCTAGTGATCACTCTAAACATCTTCATAATCACCAATAGACTCATCCAACTTTTTCCGAATTTTTGCACTATTGCCAGACATAGGTTCTTCCAGCAGCCACCCTCTTTACCCAGGGCAGCAATAACTCTTCAAGGCACTTGATGTGGGACTCCGTGTTGAGTCTGAAGACCTGTGTGAAGATGAATGGAGGCATAACATCGTCATCACTAGTTATCACTCCAAACACCATGATGTTGACTGGAAATATCATCCAACACTATCCGAATCCTCTGCACTGTCCTCAGATTGACACACAAACACTCTGAAATTTTCGTATTGGAGATTCCGGCGCAAATGCCAAGCAATACAGCATGCCGTTTCCAAATTTCTGTCGGACTGAATTGCGTCATGGTGCTCTTTTTCTTACAAACGATGCCCAACTAATCCTACTATACTGTACAGTCGACAAAATCAAAAACAAAGAATGCGCATGCGCGAAATTTTTAAAAAAATATAAAATGGCGACAAATCATCCATTGCGCCCTCTCTCTCTCTCTCTGTGTGTGTGTGTGTGTGTGTGTGTGTGTGTGTGTGTGTGTGTGTGTGTGTGTGTGTGTGTGTGTGTGTGAACATTTCAACCGCTATACTGTCCGGCGTTCCCCAAATTTCAGTTGCATTTTGAAATGTAGAAACCTTGATCTGCTAATCAAAAATGTGTTGTTCCGTTCGCTGAAAGACCACAATTTCAAAACATGGATCAGAAGAAAACAATTTCAAGAGTTCACAATGATAAAAAGTGAAAGTGACAGATGGAAGTAGAAAATGCACAGCTCTTCAGATCAAAAACGAAGAGTACGTCGGCTGAAAGGATAGGGAATGAACCTATATACAAATTTCATATTTTTTCTTCGTCGACCAGTGAAAACAATTGTTATTTGTTATCATGATTTCACTTTTTTCTCATTTTTCGCAAGTATCCTCTCATTCTCTCCCTTAGCCTTTCCAATCTTCGTTTTTATATACGATAAAGGAATAGGAAATTCGTAAACATTTTCTACTGAATACTCTCTTTGAATTCTTCTTTTGCTCCATATCGCCATCAAAAAATTATAAAGTACTAAAAATAATCGGTTCCGCCGGCTTTTATTCCAGGGATGAGTGTGAGTCTTTGATTCAGTCCCTGATGTGGAGATGCTTCTTCGAAGACGAGCCTCAAGGCACCAACATTAACGTGCGAACCTCGGCGTGGGTTAATGTTTAGCGAACTAATGTGGCTGATCTTAACTACTGTGTATTGAATTTAATCCTCACTGGTTACCCTGTACTTGAGATCAAGTGTCAAAAATTAAAATAAACTTAGTAAATAGCAATTAAACTTTAATGGCAGTTCGTGTTATTGGTTTGTGACCACGAATGAACACAAGTTCCTTAATGAAACTGATTATCAATTCATTAAATATGAAATATTTTTGGCATAAGAATCCACGCTCTTATTTGAATGTGTGTGGTTTTAAAAATTATCCAATCATATCGGCTTTTCCTTCAGCCGTCAGGACATACACATAACTCTACCACATTAATGCAGTGAGGAGGTACTGCTTGTATGAGAGAACATCATTATTTAGCTTCATATTTGTGGGTAAGAGAGACTTAGTATTATTTATTTAAAACTTCGGATATAAAACAAACTGGCTCAAAGGTATAAAATAAATAATATATATCGATTTATTTGATTTAAATTCGGGGTAACGTTCGTTTATAAGTCAGATCTTGGTAGCAGTCGGGAGAAAGACCTTTTCGGATCGAAAGTTTAAAATTCAGAAGTAGAAATAGATGCGGTGTCAATCTTTTCTTAGATCTAAGAAGGGCGGAAAAACCTCTTAAGCAGATAACCGCTTAACTTCTTCACACGAAAAGCATGACTGGTTTCTCCGGCGGTCCCTTCTCTTCTTCTGCCTCTCAACTGTCTGTTTATATCCTTTTTGACAAGGATCCCCAGACTACTAACACGAAGATTGGTTTCGGCTGACATCAAAAGTCTCTGTGTTAATTCTTTTTGATTGAACAAAATTATTTTATTTTCCGGCGTTCCTTCCTTTTTCATTTTTTATATAGAATAGCCTCTATTATTTTGGTAGATTTCTAGTAACAAATTGCTAAACTCTGCTTCAGCAAACTTCCGGTCGTGTTCAGACTTTTCTTCTTTTTCTTCTCTTTTATTTGAGGGTTGAGAGAGAAATATATAGAGAGAAGTTTTAGAGAGTGAGAGAGAGAAAGAGAAAGAGAAAGAAAAAAGGAATATGGGTTTTAAAGGAAAACAAATTAATTATTTTAATTTTAATTCCTTTATATATATATATATATATATATATATATATATATATATATATATATATATATATATATATATAAAATAAAATAAAAATAATAATATATATATATATATATTATTTTCATATTTCATTTCATTTTACATTTGGGTTCACCACATATTTTTGTCTGTTTACAAATCGCTAGAAACTTTATATAATTTATTCTGTTTGCGCAATTACTTGATATTCCTGATATTTAACTGCGATTTGCGTAGCTTAGATGTGGCACAAGGCTTCAAGTATGGAGCACCCAGTGAGTGCCCGATTTGATATTTAATAACTAATTCTATCATTTTACTTTTATTTAAATGAATCAAATTTTATTTACAGTGGCTTTCTTTTTTAATTTTATTATTAAAATTTATTAATTACGAATCCCGACGCACAATGAATGTCAGGAATAATTAATGAAAATAAAGACGGAAAGGAAGATGAAGAAATATTTGCAAAAGAAAAACAACTCTATAGTCAACAGTTAGCTTCCCTCCTATCCATATAAACTACCCCTTAACGTAACCCTCTACCTGGAGTGGCCTGCGGGCCTTATACAGGATGAACCCTACTTTAAAAAAAAAAATAAAAAGATGAAAGAAGCGAGGAAATAAGAAAAACAAACGTTAAGAAAAAATAAGAAAAAGAGTAAAAGAAGAAAAATAGGGGGAAAAATGGCCAAAGAAGAAAAAAGTGAAAAGAGAAAAAACTAAAAAAAAAAAAAAGGAAAACTAAAATAGAAGAAAAGGTAAAGGGAAGAAAAACAAAAAATAAGACGACGAAACGAATGAATAAGTGAAATAAGAAAAAAAAAGAAGAAAAACGTCAAGAAAAAAATGAAAGAAGAAATACGATCGGAAGGAGGAGAAAATGGCGCTGAGTATCGATAGAAAAATAACAAATTCTGTCTTTCAAACAATTTTTCCTTCTTGCTTTTTACCGACCACTTTTGAAACAATCCGCGCTTCATTCCAACGTTGCGACTATTTAACAACATCTCTCTTTTCCCTCTCACTTGTGTGTCTGTGTGTGTAAATGAATATATATATATATATATATATATATATATATATATATATATATATATATATATATATATATATGAAGCAGCCAACCTGCCTACTCGCCTTCTTTCATTCAGACACTAACATCAGTAGGGACGACAAGCTTCTTGCTAAGGGAAAACATCAACTGCCTCTCCGACTTAAAAGGTTAGTTAATATCAAATATTTTCAATGCATTTTCGAAATTTAATATCAGAATTTATGTGATGACTTGATGTACGTTTGTTTCTGGGAAAAGGGGACGGGTTGATTTCATTGATGTTTTGATATTTTACGATTCCCCTAATAATCGTTTACTCTTGGGGTGGGGGATGTCAAACGCTGGTTTTACAACTAAAAACACAGCTGTGTGTGCCTCGTTTTGTCTCGTTGATTTTGTGCAAATTTATATGATTATTTTTCTAATAAAAGTTCAATAGCTTTTGCTTCGTATTATTTTATTTCCTTGAAGTATAATTAAAATGAAGACATGCATTTTTTCTTATATTTTCTCCAGTAATAGGAACGAAAAACGCTGGTAAAGAATATAGGAAATTTTTGTTATACCAATCTTCCAAGTAAGAAAAAATCGGTATCCAAGGTTTTGATTTTTGTCTGAACTTGAACACCTGGCACCGGTGTCATTAATATATTGTCTGAATATTTATGAAACTTACTTAATCTGGGCTAGCACAAGGCCATCAAAACGGGTTACTTTTTTAAGGCTCGAATTTATGGCGCCAATTAGTAATTTGTTAGTTACTAGCTCGCATTACTGTGGTGATAGAAAAATAATACGTTCACTAAACAAGAAACAATTCTAGAATATATTCCTTGGTCTCGGAAAAGTACATAAAAAAAAAAGATTTCCGTCCGTTCTCCCATGTCTATATTTTTGGATAACTAAAAATCAGACTCGAAAGGATTACTACTATCAACTACAAGGACATATATATATATATATATATATATATATATATATATATATATATATATATGAAGAAAAATATACAGAAAAAAAACAAACAAAAAATCTTAATATGCATTTATGCTGTATTAATGTTAATATAATGTCAACGTCGGACGTTTCGGTCTATCTTTCTGTATATTTTTTCTTCATACTGTCGGATCTATATCCATATATTTTACATATATATATATATATATATATATATATATATATATATATATATATATATATATATATATATATATATATATATATATATATATATCTTATGCTAAAGGTCTCTCTTCTGTCTTTTTTTTTTCTCTCTCTATGCTACAGGACTCTTTTTCCCTCACCCTATTATATACTAAAAGACTCTCTCTCTCTCTCTCTCTCTCTCTCTCTCTCTCTCCCAATTATATGCTAAAAGACTCTTCTCTCCCTCTATTTTATGCTAAAGTGATTTCTCTCTCTCTCTCTCTCTCTCTCTCTCTCTCTCTCTAAGTTGTTCTTTCTCATATGCTAAAGTACTATTGAGGTTCTGATATGAACTCATGAACCCTTTCAATATTGTATATTTTATTTTAAGAGAGATAAAATTTTGTCTGTACATGCAAAATATATCTTTGTACTAATTATCTTTGCATTTATTTTTAATGGGCAAATATTCGGTGTATATTTGGATTAAAGACGCTATCCGAAGATAACCACTACATAAACACATAGCCACCTGTAAACGCATAGCCACCACGTAAAACATCCACACGTCACTTGTCTTATATCATCTGCAATATGTGATATTTTTAAACCGTACCCCTCAGTTTGTAAACAATCTTTGTTCTCCGCAGTTTCCTTTTTCTTTAATATCCCTAAATCGTATATTGTTATGATTTCTTAAGATAAAGAGTGGGGTGATCTGCCGTTACCTTCTCAGCGGTTTTTAATTGTCCTCTGAAACAGGTTTCCCTATCAAGGCTAATGAACCCATTCTACCCTACAATTACACAGATGGGGGAGAATAGACAGATACATAGATTTCCAAAGTGCTATGTAAACACAACAGGATCGGCTGGGATTGAAACCCAACCTGCTGATTCCGTCCTCTGCATGTCACCTGCCTATCATACCTGATAATTGACTTATTATATAGAATACAAATTACAATCTACAAGGCATTTTAATACACCTGAAGTTGGATAAGCTAAAATTATAGACTATATTTTCATTATTCTTATATATCTTCTTTCACTCGGAAGATTGGCGCAACACAATCTTCTTTCTCCTCTTATATTAGTCGACTTTATAGCAGAATATTTAATGCTTACAAAATATTGATCAGAATAATAGCGCTTATAGTTATTTACTAAGTTTAGTCTGGCTCAAGGCCAAAGAATTGAAGCATCGAGTTAGAACCGAACTCACTTCATTAGAGAATGGTTTGAGAAACAAGCTCATTAACCATCACGTTACGGTAAGCGTCTTAGTGATTTTCATGTACGTGCGTATATTTCCTTGAAATCTTTGTACAAACTGTGTTTGATAAGATATAGAACAAATTAAATAGGAATCGTTTATCAATTTGACGTGTTTCACTTTTATTAAAGCTTCATCAGAGAATGAGATATGAAGAAAAAGAAGAAAGACTTTCTGGCATTTTTTACTTTTGTGTTTATTTAAAATGAGTTAACCTCAAACATCAGAGATTTTATTGTAAACGTCTTTTAAGCAATAGCGCCTTACGAGCGGATGAAGTCTGCGAAGTTTGGAGTCGGGAGATAAATTTGGGAATTCTTTATTTTAATTTTTTTATGAATTTGTCTAAATAGAATATTTTTGGCGCATATCTGTGACATTGGCTGTTAAGTAAAACGAAACCATTATGAGCTCACTTTAGTAGATAAACATGAAAGGAATAATCTTCCTATCTATTTTATTCTACTTAACTTTATACCGGTCTAAGCAAAGCTTACCTAAAGAATCTCTCTTCCACACTCACTCTCTCTCTCACTCTCTCTCACTCTCTCTCTCACTATATTCCTACCTATCTTATTCTCCCTCTCCCTCTCTCTCCCTCTATCACTATATCCCTCCATTTCTCTTTCACTTTCTCTCTCACACTCATTTACTCACTATATACGTCCATCTCTCACTCATTCACTATATCCTTCCCGCCCCCTCTCTCTTTCTCTTTTTCTCTCAACTTTCAGCTTTTCAAAATTAACAAAATCTTCAGTTTTCTAAAAATAATTAGCAACTAATGTTAATTGTAGTTTCCGAAGAATTATTTCAAGATTCCCTTTCAATTTAAGAAGGGCTTCGTTATTTACTAATTTTCTGCGAAGATAGCAAAGTATTTTTTTTAATATATTTATACACACAAGTCGTATCGGGAAACAATCTCGTTTGGGTCAAGTGACAACAAGTATTCCTACAAATATATTCTTTTAGTTACGATTATTATTCTTGCGTTTACATCTTCACCCCAAATGCCTGGTAGTCATCGGTGAGGCTTGCGTAGCAACAACTCTCTCCAAATCACTAGCAACCGTCTCATTACACTTGCAGACCCCCATCAAATCCGAGTTCTAACCAGCCACAACCCTTTCCCCTATTTCAAACTCAAATCCCAATATTTGTATTCACTGATTTTTTTTCCCACCGGTTCGATCTGGTGGTTGTCATTTGGGGTCGGGGTGGGGGTCATCGAGCGACCGCTAATATCTACAACATTCTCCTCAGAATTCTGTTGTTAACGTAATACCTGTATAAAATGACGCTTCTTTTATGCACAGGTAAAGAGCTCTGACTTGCATCAGCGAATTTTCTTCTTCTTTATGTGCCGGGTCCTTTCAAGACGTAAGTGATCATGGCTCTCCACAATTTCCTGTCCTTTGTAGCTCTTAATAAATTTAGTCTTTCTGTTATTTTTCCTAAGCCCCGTTCCTCCATCCATTTACTCAAGTTCACTAGATAGGTTATGCGCGGTTTTCCTCTGTCCCTTTTGAACTCAACTTGTCCCTGTGAGTGTCAGATTTTCCAAGGCATCAACGCATGGCTTCTGGTTACAATCAGACTGTAGCATTTATGTACTCTTTGATAATTACACATTGACCTATATATATATATATGAAGAAAAATATACGGAAAAACAAACAAAAATCCTAATATGCAATTATGCTGTTTTAATGTTAATATAATGTCAATGTTTCAGTCTAGTGGACCATCTTCAGGACATATTCATAAAAGATAATTAACATTAGACTATATTTAATTCGCTGATCTTGAAAAATTTCAGTTATCTGTTTTGATTAGTCTTACTCTTATGTCCATCGTCTTTTCATGTTAAATTAAATATAGTCTAATGTTAATTATGTTTTATGAATATGTCCTGAAGATGGTCTACTAGACCGAAACGTCTGACGTTGACATTGTATTAACATTAAAACAACATAATTGCATATTAGGATTTTTGTTTGTTTTTTCCATATATTTTTCTTCATACTGTCGGATCTATATCCATGTATTTGCTTACACACACACACAACACACACACACACACACACACACATATATATATATATATATATATATATATATATATATATATATATATATATATATAATTAATAACCAGTAAAATACAAAAGAGAGAAAGAGCAGATGGAGTAAAAATCCACTGTTCGTAGAATTTACTTTTAAAAAAGTGCTCAATACAAAGTAGAGCAACATATTATTATTATATTTTTATTATAAGAGAGATTATAATAAAAATATTTTAAATCGCTAAACAAAAGCTTTCATGTTTCAATACTTTGATGGTATTTCTTCAGGCGATGGTAAACAGCTTAAGTGCAATCATAGTACTGAAACACGAAAGCTTTTGTTTACCAATTTCAAAAAGTGCTTTATTATAATCTCTTATAATAAAATATTATATCTATCTATCTATCTATATATATATATATATATATATATATATATATATATATATTGGGTAGCAAAAATGTTTTGTATTATGTTTTATTTATTTGACATGTAGGCAAGCAATAAATTTTTTTGTAAGAAACACAGATTTTTGTGTTGACCCTGCAAAATTGATATTGAATTTTTTTTAATTAAGATTTAGTTAGAATTTTAGTTTTTTATTAAAAATTAAAAACTAATGTTTCAGTATCAAACACTGGCTGCGGGGGCAACTGAAAATTTTGTGATTCTTTCA